ATCTGTGACACTAAAAAGACCTGAGAGGAAACCTTTTTGGGTTGGACCCTTTAAATCCTTATCTGTGGCTACATCATTGGAAAGCACCTCTACTGGTTTGATTCTTTGAATCTGTGGTTGTCCTTGTCCTGTACGTGAATACTGTTGCTGTTTTACATCAAGGTTCACCTGATCAGCAGGTGATGATGACTGTTCTGCAGTACCTGAGACTTTATTCAATAGGTCAGAAAATATTCCTCCTGATTCAGACCGGGCTGGATTTTGCCCTGACTTAACAGATGGTTGAACTGTCCTTGCAGGCTGGGGAGACTGTTGTTGCACATTTTCACCAGATGCAAGCTTAAGAATGCCTGAAAGCAAGCCTCCACTTTGACTAGGCTGTTGGGTCGCTGTTTGTTGAGGACTTGGCGTTTTGCCAGGCTGTGGTTGAGGCGATGTCTGACCAAACAGACCAGACAAGAGTCCTCCTTGCTGACTGGGTTGCGATGACTTTTGACCAGCAGGCTGACCAGGTCCAACGATATTTGACAAATTTCTTTGTTGAGACCCAGTCTGTGGGGTAGGCTGTTGTGATACATTATCAGGTTGTGCTAACTTATTGAAAAGCCCAGACAACAGTCCGCTTTGCTGTGGCTCTGATGCAGAGGCAGCAGTTTGTGGAGGTATCTGATTTTGCCTCCGAAGAGGTTGTCTGCTACCTTGTTGAGGTTGTGGCTGGTTTGGTTTTGTTGGCTGCTGCTGTGCTGGAGGAGTAGGACCTGTTGAAAAAAGCCCAGAGAGAAAGCCTCCCTGCTGAGCGGGTGGTGGTTTAGGGCCTGGTTTTGGTTCCTGTTGATGCTCTGCCTGACTGGCTGATGACTGTGGGTTGCCAGCATCTGCAATTTTGCTTAATAATCCAGTGAGCATCCCTCCAGGACTACTTGGGGGCTGTTGTGGAGGGACTTGATTTTGTCGTTGCAGATTCTGTCTATTGCCGAGTTGCTGATTAGGTCCCCGCCCAGATGGGCCACTCTGTGGCTGGTTTTGTGAGGGCGGGGCTGGGTTTACAGAAGCAGAGTCTTGGCCCCCAATTCCAAAAAGACCTGAGAGAAAACCCCCTTGCTGAGGGGGTGCTTGCTGCCCTGTTTTTTGGTTACTCTCCTGAGCACCAGGCTGTGACTGAGATGGAGAAGGATTAGGTTCCACTATCTTGTTAAAAAGTCCTGACAACATGTTACCAGATTGCTGATTTGGTTGTGTAGATTGTGTGGCTGTAGGTCCTTTTGGAGGCTGGGTAGCAGTTTCTGTGAGTTTCATTAAACCTCCAAATAATCCACTAGGTTGAGGTGTWGTTGCTGTTGCTTTAGGTGGAACATTTTCTGTTGTTTGGTCAGGTTGTTGCTGTTGGTTTTGTTGTTGATCTGAGGTGACACATTGTCTTAGTGACTGGTCAGGTTGACCTTTATCAGGGGGAGCTGCTTCTGTTGAACCCAGTTTAATCAATCCTGATAAAATCCCGGATGACGGAGTAGGAGGAATGGTCTCTTGACTACTTTTTTGTTCACATTCTTCCATTTTCATTGTATGGTCACCCACTTCTGGACATGACTTTTGACTGGACTGAGTTGGTTGAGATGCAGTCACTGTGTCTGTAGCTATTTTCAAGAACCCAGATAAGACTCCTCCAGAAGATGGCTGTGCAGCAGCAGGTGGTCCTTGCTTTTGAGATGGAATGTTGACAGGGGACTGATTTGAAGGAGCAGAAACACTATCAGAGGCAAATTTTAAAAATCCAGACAATAGTCCTCCTGACTGTTGTGTGGCAGAATTCTGTGCTTGGTTAGAAGGCTGGGTGGTTGATGAAAATAAGCCTGAGAGTAACCCACCTTGTTGAGGCTGACCATCCCCTTCCTGGGCTTTCTTGCCAGATGACAAATCATCTGTTGATCCTAGTTTAAACAGACCAGAAAGAAGTCCTTGAGGCTGTGAAGCTTGTGGTTGTGATGCAGGATGTTCCACAGGCTTGGAAGGACATTGATCTTTAGATGTGATATCTGCTTCAGGCTGGGTCTCTGTCTGGGGATCTTTTTCAGACACTGTTTGCTCTTGACACAGTTGTTCTGTCCTACCTTCAGTGCTCTCTGTGGTTTCAGAGACCACTTCTTCAGTATGCCCTTCAGTTCCACAGCTGGGTTTGGTTACAGCCACAGTGGGTTCACTTGCGCCTACCTTAAAAAGGTTTGAAAACCAGCCCGTTTCTGCGTTTCCTTTTGGTGCACTTTCAAGAAGTGCAGCACGACTTGGAGAGGGAGTTCTTGCAGGGCTAGGGGATGGACATTTTGGTGGGGCATTGGCATCTTCGCCAGATGCAAACTTAAGGATTCCTGAGAACACACCTCCTTCTGCTTTTGGTGGGGCGGCTATGGAAGCATTTTCTGAGGTAAAAAATGGAATCTTGAGTTTGCTGCCTAAAAATGACTCTTCAGGGGGCTTGGTGTCAGTTTGCTGGGAATTTTCAGGAGGAACTGTTGATATGAGGTTAGAGAGAGACTTCTTAAAAGGGCTGAAAAAACCTGTTTCCTCTGAACTGCTTTCAGGTTTTGGTTCAGATATTTTAGGAGCTCTTCTTTGCTGAATATCTGGTAGCTCCCCAGATGACTCTGTTTCTGGCAGAAGCTCAGTCGATCCACTACCTGTATCTGGCAATAACTCAACTGATCCACTTCCTGAACCTGGTCTGATCTCACCTGATGATTGTCGCTCTGTTTGTGAGCCATCTCTATTAGGACTCAGGGTTCTGTTTAAAGACCCTTGCTGGGATTCACTGCTTGCAGCAGAGCCACTTCTCTGTTCTGGTGGTTGAGGTGATGGGTCCCTGGATGGTGGTGCACTGGAAAAAAGTCTCAAGGGACTAAGCCTTCCTAACATGGATTCAAATCCAGATGTGGACTGGTTAGCAGCGGTTGCACTGCCTTGTGTCTCTGTGCCGATTTGTGTTGACGTCTGATCAGTGTCAGGTTGCCGACTGGTTTCTGAGGACTGAAATGGCAAAAGAGACTGAAGGGAAAACTTTTTTTCTGCAGTTGGCTCCTGAGAGGCAGGAGGAACTATGGCTACAGGGGGGGAAGTACCACCACTTTTGGGAATAAATGAAAGCAGCTTTGAAATGCCAGACTCAGGCTGGGGTGATGCTTGGGAAGCTGGTGGATCTGTTGCAGTGGTACCAGATGTTTCTGTGGGTTCAGCCGCACCTTTAGGAATCAAAGAGAGAAATCTTGACATCCCAAACTCTGCCTGTGCTGGTTGGGGGGACGGAGTTGGACCAGAGGCGTCGACCTCAGTGGCAGTTTTTGATCCTTTGATTGTACTGAACAAAGAGCTCATGACATTCTTTACTCCAGCTAGGCCCTGTTCAGCGACACTCTCCTCCTTCACTTCAGCTTTGACTTCACTGCTATCACCATCTCCAGGTTCCACGGGTTTGGCATCGGTTGGCAGCGCTGGCAGTTTTCTTCTGATTGGTTTTGGCATTGACTCATAGTTGTTTATCTCTTCCTCTTTTACAGCCAGGTATTCAGACACAGAGTGGACTAGGCTCTGCAGTTCATCCATTGGATCTATATATTCATCACTTGGCTCCTCTACAGGAGACAACATGGGATCTTGTCCACAACATGTTCTCCCTTTGCCTTGTCCTCCAGAAGGCGACATATACTTGCCTGGGTAGTAGTTACTTTCATATTCATAATTAGCATCACCCTCAGTGAAGGTCAGTTCATCTAGTTCCTCTTCAGATCCGAAGGAGTACTGCATCTCATCTGAACCAACTGAGCCATATTCACTCCTCACCCTGATCCTCGCTGCTTCTTCCCGAGCAGCCTCCTCCTCACGAAAAGCTGCATAGCTCTCAAGTGTTTCCTCTAAGGCGGTTTTGGCCCACAGTCTGGTCTTGTAGAGTAAACTTTCTCTGTCTGATTGCTGCCGTAGCTGTTTGGCCGAGGGAATCATATCAATTTCAGGAGGGGACAATTCATTCTCAAAGCTGCCGGCTTCTTTATAAACTAAACGTACTTCTCCACTACCAAATCCACGCCTCTGTCTGTTTGACATGCCACTCGTCTCATCTGTTTCCTCTGGGGACATTGCGTCACATTCCACTGTCTGATAGAACCGGCTGCCTTTGGGCTCAGACGGGCTGTCCCTGATTCGGTAGATGATGCTTTTATCTTCATCCTCCCACATTTTCTGCTCAGCGTCCAAGTAATCGTCCAGGACGCCTGAATCAGGCACTTTATATTTGCTCTCCCAGTCGTCCACACCCATACCTGAGTCGACTGGGATTATTCTTACTCCACGCTTAGAGTTTGATCGCCTGGATTTAATTTCAAAACAATGAAAAGAGCCATGCAGGACGCGTTGGAATGTGATGCAACGAAAAAGAAAGAAAGAGAAATGAAGCATTAGACGTGAATCAAAAACAGCAGAGCATGCAAAGAAAGTGTTAATAGAAGAAATTAAATAGCAACTCAAAAAAAGATATTTAGGTGGAAGGAAAATCGAAGTTTAATAGTGATAAAAATAACCCTCAACCTCATGTGCAGCTGTTAGCTGAAGGTTAGACGATGCTGTTTGCTGCTGGAACAGCATGATCTGATTTTGTCAGGGATTACTTTGATTTCCCATTTGAAAGATTTACAATCTCATCAATAATTCAGATTAACAGATCAATGGAGTTAAATCCAACAGAAATAATTATTACATCAAGACCAAAGGTGCATGACAATCACAATCACAATCACATGAGCTCTGTCATATATATTTGTTAAAGAAGTACTTTTCGAGATCTGTATCATGGTAACTCAACTCATCATATGTACGAATACAAATGATTTCAGAATAAGAGTTGGAGAGCAAATTGATATTAATAATAATAATAATAATATTCTCAAGTGATTCTGCAGTGATGAGGTCAGAGAGTTGTTTGTGTGTGTGTGTGAGTGTGTGTGTGTGTGTGTGTTTACCTGGGCCCCCTCATTTCTCTATAGTCTAGCTCATAGCTGTGTATGGAGTCAGACTCCCGGGACAGGGTTTGATGCTGGACCCTGCGTCCTATAGGATACTGGTGAACTGAGGAATTTGTCTGGGAGGCGTTGTGAAAACGTGGAGGTCGGTTGCTAGTTTCGCTGCGATAGTCACTATCACGGTCGTCCATGGCACTGTCATGGTCATCGAAAGCTGCACGAAAGACGACAAAGAATAATACATTTTGACAGAAGTAAATAATTTGGAATGTTTATTCACATATGACTTATGGTAGAAGGACGCTCTGGGAAACCAGATCAGATGATCTGCTCACTGCTCGTCATTACTGCTGAACTGTGAAATTCTCTTTTCATCCATTTTCCTGAGCTTTCACTGTAGAAACATGCAACTGTTCTCACATCAGAGTGACTTTAAACAAACTGGACCAGTCGACGCAGCTGTGTACAATGTTAAATGTAGCAGGAAATAATTCACAAGGGTTTTTATACTTTATGATTTAACTCCTCAGACCACACAGTAAGAATAGGTTGAATAAATAGCTCCCTCTTGTGGTAGCAACTCATCAACAGCAAGCTGACAAGGATTTGAAAACAAATGATGAAAATTCAACGAATCACACACATCAGACATGACAACAAAATGTGCACATACATATGTTAGTTACATGAAGTTCTCAAATACAGTGAAGACAAAACCAAACCAAACATGCAGAAGCTGTTACAGGTCAACAAGAGGAGAGAGAAAACAAGACATCCATTATACTTTACAGTAAATATATATATATATATATATATATAAATACGTACTCTGCTGGTCGCTCCATCCAAAATAACTCCAACTGCCTGAGAGCGTTGAAGTGTTCGAAGAAAAAAAGTGAACTTCATTACTGAAGAATCAAACCAGTAACTGTTACTGTGGGATGGTTGGATGAGTATGTGACATGTGATGGGAATGAAAACACCCAGATCTGTGATTGTGCTTGATGGATGAATGATGAGACCAGTGAGAGATGAATGAGAAATTAATGAAGCTCCAGTAAACTGATTTTTTTTATTCAATATGAGCGATCAAGAGTGACACAACAAAACTGCGTCAGAGAAAAGTAGTTTAACCACAGCTCTACACATCAGCCCCTGTCGGAGGATGGAGGGACACGTCTGTCTTTGCTCATCAAACACTGGGGAACGAGGAGGAAAATGTATTTTGTCCAAATCAGAGTCAGCGGTGTGGAACGACACGTTGATGAATGCTGCTCATGTAAAAAGTTCAGTGGCATGAAAAAGTTTTACCAGGATTTTACACTTACAGCACTGAGAGGGGACGGAAGCCATTCGTCGTCTCTGGACGTCTTCCTGCAGAGGATACTTCCACCACAAACGGAAACAGAGAAGGAAGAATCATCCAAAGTCACACTCCAGTCGTTTATTACTCATAAAAATGTTGTCATGAGAAAATTCCCCTAATGCCGTTATAGTGGCTTAAATGTAACTCTACACTTTCCTCCTTATTTCAGGAGTTTGTTTACTGTTCCCGTCCCAATTCACCCGCAGCTCTACCACCTGTTTCTCTATGTGATGTCAAAACAAAACCACTACTCATGTGTGAGTGAGAGTGACGTTCATTACTCCTGTGTCCCGTACAGAGGTTAGAAATAAATGTCCCTGTTCATGTTTTCAGCGAGGAGCAGAACTTTCTATGGACACGAGTAACATTGAAATGAGTCACTGTTCTAATGTTGGTTGGCTGCTGATGATGTAGTGACTGATGTCCCAATGAGGGTCGGGGTCGGGCACAGGGAAGAACTGGGACAGGACGGGCCTTTGATAGACATGTGTCACATCATCTGTGCTGTAACAACCATTATTCACCACTAGATGGGAGTAGAGAATAAAGAGACACTGCAGTACACTGAGAATACAGTCAGACGTACGGAGACTGTTTGCAAAAACAAATAGAATCAGAGTCTGTAACTAAACTATGGTAGTAAACTTGTTTATCAAATAACAAACAACTTAAATAAAAAGAAAAGTTTACTGATTTCAGAGTTCTCATATTTTCTTACTGAGACTAAATGATTGTCTCAAAGTTCCTGGATGAAGGAAACAGTAAATACACAATGTTTGTCATGTTTTAGACACAAAAGCAGAATAACATCGTCCCCTGGCTCTTGGAAGTTTTTTAAAGTTACATTAAGACTTCATATATGTGAAGAAAAGAAAATCCAAGTTAGAATCCCTTGCTGAATTTGCTGTAACTGAATAACTTGTAGTATAATAACTAATTTTCTTATTAACGGGAACTTAAACTTACCTCGTCATGTATCTGCATGGTATTGATCCGCTCCAGTTTACTGGTCCAGTACTGAGCCTCGTCTTCTGGGATGTCTGGACAGAAGAAATAAAAGGTTTCAAAAGTGAGAAGAAGCAAACGAATGACCGTGGTGAAAGCAGCGACGTGGAGGAAACAGACACATGGGATGGAGGGATGGAGGGATGGAGGGATGGATGGAGGACGGGGTGACCAGTCAGGAGAGAAGGTAAATAATGGAGGAAGACGGAGAGTGAAAATACAGAATTTGAGCAAGAACAAATAAAAAAACAGACGCTGCAGCTCCACCCTTCTCTCAGTCGCCTCTCCTCCACCCGATCCCGTCCTGTCTCATCCCATCCACGCTGCCTGATGTGCTTCCATCTCATATTCATACGTGTTTAATAGCAGATGAGGACGTTTCCCGTCGGGGGCCCAGAAATAGAAAGAGCAGCCTCCTCAGGGGCCTCACAGGTCGTCCCCGAAGCCAGTGAGATCTTTTAAAATCATGGCTTTAGTCTCTGTCATGTTCCAGAGTAAATAAATATCCATGTCTGAAGTTTAAAATGTGAACTTTTTGATATTCTGAACATGTTGTAACAGAAGATGGTTGTAGTTTGTTAAGCTGAATGCAAACTGTTGTGAGCAGCTGCAGAACTAAATGTCTGAAACAAGGTCTATATACATTTTATTTCAAATACCCTACAGGTCAAATACTAACACTACTAATAATACAATACTAACAGACTTACTTGAAAGAAATGATTAAATACCATGCTTCAGTTTAGATGCTTCTCTCTATTGAATGTCAATGATTTTACTTTGCGTTTGTCAAAGTTTCCCAAAATAGAGGAACTTCTATCTTATCTCCATCTTCAGACTCTATTGTGTCGGGAGGAGCATGAAGCTGTGGCACCGTGACACCAGGTGAGTGTTGATAAATCGAGTGCCGGGCGATGTGAGGGCAGCAGGCGGCTCAACAACAGACTCTTCAGACAGCTGCTGCAGATTAACGGCTTGACAAGAAAACAAAGTGCACGGTCCGGTTGAAATGCTGCAGTTTAAGTGATCACACTCCAGGAATAAAACAGGGGGAAGAAACAGAAAGAAAAGTGCTGATGTGAAGAAATGCTTCATAAAAGCTTCATGAAGTCTAATGGTTCATCCACAGCCTCGGATATACTGTACAGGGCTTCTACAGGGGAGCTCATGGGAATCGAACACGGAGCCTGACCGCAAGCTCCAACTATGAAACTGTGTCTGATGAATGAGATGGAAATAAACACCTTTCTCATCACACTTAACGTTGGAGATCTGATCTCTACCTGCGTTAATGGAGAAGCAGAACGGTGCACTTTGTTTTTACCTGTGTCGGTGAGTGAAACCATCAATCAGGGAGTTTTTTTTTAGCTGCTTCCAATCTCACACAGAATAATTCAGTTCCAATAAAAACGTGAGGATGATTGTGTTTGTGTTCATCTACACACCGAAGGGTAACTCAAAGCGAGTGTCCAGCAGCACTTGGTGTGGAGTTGGGTTGGAGGTGCCGCAGATCTCATCCTCCCTCATTAACACCTCAGAGTCCAGAGATGTCCACTCTCCTGGTCCCTCCTGAAGGAGTGAGAAGGGAATAGAGACAAAAAGAAAGAGAGAGGACACGAGGGAGGGGACAAAGACAAATATTTACTTGATGAGAACCAAAGATGAAGAGGTGAAGATGCCAGGAACAACTGTGACATCTCAGACAGTGTAAAAATGGCAGCGAGCGTACAATCGTCTGGAGAGGCCAAAACACTTGAGGCTGAATTATTGATGACGACACAGACGCTGCTGCATCACTTTAAAACTTTCCAGAAAAAAGTAATGAGATCTAGACGACGAGTCTCTGCAGCTGGAAACTGCTTCTCCAGACTTCAGCCGACAGGTAAAGATGTTTTAATAAGAACCGGTGGGTGGACGTGGAGTTTGTGTGTAAGTGTGTTTATTGAATGGGTTGTCGTCAGCTCAAGCAGCCTAAGCAGCACAGTCTGTTCTGTACATAAAGATTTATTTATTTTATTCTGTTTATTTTTAACAAACAGTGAGGGCGGGCAAAGACGACATCATCTCTGCTTCCAATGATAATAAATACGTTTCTAAGCTCAGGAACAACATCTTGTGTTTATCACTTTAAGCCCGTTGTGTATTTGTGTGTGTACATGAACTAATAAGGGTGTGTGTGTGTGTGTGCTGGAGGTGTGTGAGGTGTGTTACCTCGTCAGACTGTTGAATGCTGTCCAGCGGAATCAGCGCTGTGCCGATCATCGTGTCCCAGATCAAACCTTTGTTCCACAGCTCCACCACCAGACCCGACTCCAGGTGATTGATCTCACTGTGGAAACACACAAACACACATAACTGCATTAGAAACATAGACGTCATTAAAGTGATTAACACGAGCGTCACTCAGTCGAGCTCAAACCTCCACCGAGGCCCAGCTTAAAGTCTGCACCGAATCCATCACGTTTGTTTGGACTTAATTCTGAAGTAATTCAAGTTTCATTCGCTCCTGAACCCACATTGTCTCAGCTACACTTTCAGGGTAGTTACATGTTTCTTGCCTTATTCGTTAGGATGCTGCGGCTCAACACGTTTAAAACGTCACATAAAGTCGATTATCACATTGAACAGTGTGGTGTTTAATACAGGGTTGCACTGTGGCCTTGACACATCAAATCCGTCTCCACCTTTCCCTGCTGACAGGTCAGACAGTGGGCCGATCGTAAAGCAGTGAGGGTGAAGGACGGCAGCCGACATTTTCTGACAGAGAAGAGAACACAACTGTCTCCTCATCTGCATATTCATATTCACTGATCCATTCATATTCATATCGCCTCAGTTTGGCTGTCAGTCATCTCTGGTGACACCTCCCAGCTGGGATGATAGAAAGAGGAGGGTGGGTGGGATGTGTGTGTTTGGTGTGTGTGTGTGTGTGTGTGTGCACTGCAGCTACTTGCCACCAACTGAAGAAGTCAGCCAGCTGAACACATCGAGTCATTATCATGACCATTACCACAAACCATCTTCATTCAAATGTTTGCTTGTTCACAGGTCGGTGTGAGACTGAAGTCTTCTAAATATCTTTAGAATAAGTTCATATTGTGCCAGCACAGATTGTTAGATTAGGAAAAGTGACTCGGGAGCAGAGGCCAGAGAAGCCAGCTGGCATTACACCGTGAGGCTGAGGCATCATGAGCCATCACCTGCATCTGAATTCACTGTGTTCTGGACACAGAATTCAGCTCGAGCACATATCCACTGAATGGAATGGATGATGGAATGAAAATACTTATCAACAGTCTTTTCTGATCACCATTAAAAATCCTACAAAGCAGATTCAACGCCTCTCACGGGGCAACACAACATCTGATTTCTCCATTACAGCTCTCTGTGTTTACATTAAGTAACATGACAGTCATACACGCTGTATAAACGACACCGTCAATCCAAGAGATTATTATATTGAAACCATGAAACATAAAATCTCAAATAGGATTAGAAATAGGTCTGACGTCGTCCTCTGTGCAGCCTGTCTCCAACGTGTGTGCATGTGTGTTCCTGTAGCTTTACATCCAACTCGGCCATGCCCTCCATCACAGCCCATCCATTATTGAGGGGATCGTTTGTTGTAGCAGGGAGGGAAATGGAGTATTTTCATCGTTCAGACACCACAATCGGACCAAAGCGTCCCCGCACACCTACATTCTGTCCCGTGGTGTTTAAGAGAAGGGAGAGAAATTGAAAAAAGAAATGAAGGAGAGGACAAAGAGAAGGAGGCGATAGCTCAGCACAAGGCTTTGTGGAAATCACGGACTGAGAGGGAGGAATGGGGGGCAGCCGACAGATGAAGTCACTGTTTGGAAAAAAACGGCTTTTAACATTGAAAAGCTTGACACAGACACTGCTGACCGACACCTCTCCTGCTTCCACACGGTGGTAGAACGCAGTTTAAAACACACCCAACATTGTCACATCATGATTCTCTGTCGCGCGGCATTATTTATTAAACCGATGCTCTTTAAATAACACGCGTCAGACTTGTCCAAGTGGCAGCCGACGTGGTTTGTGAGCGGCGGTTTGGAAACCAGAAGTAACCATATTTGGAGGAGCAGTGGGTGGAGCCTGACTGGGAGCTCAAGGATACTGCCCGCCCACCTGCACCCACTGGACGGCCATCAATCACCCGGAGTCCATAAAGTCTTTGGTCTTTTTGACATGAGAGATTATGTCCTTTCATTTTCAAAGATTCTTAACAAAACCCACGGTTACAAAAAAGATGTTTGGAAGTGAAAAATGAAGATTGACCTGTTTTCTTTGTTTTAGATGTTTTTCACATGTTCTCTATCAGCTATGGTTCATATGTTGCTCTGAGGTTCACCTGAACATAAGCATCCAACCTGTTTTCCTCTAAATCCAGATGTGTAAATAAGAGCACAGGGGGCGGATGCAGTGAATCATTCCTGTTACAGTGACTCGATAAAGACTAACAGAGGTTCGTGTGCAGCGAAGGAAGAAGGTCACCATTTTTTAAACTTAAACACAACTTAATTGACAGAGAATTGGAAGAAAAGAGCCGACTGTGACCTCAATCACCGGAGAAGCTGTCGGGCAGAAAGATGACGAGAGAAGAGAAAACATTCTCTCTGTCGTAAACTGGGAGAATAAACAGTCACAGACAGAGAAGGACCCATTAATGTCGTGTTTTTGTCTTTGCTTTCATTCTTTTTATTTGTACTCATTTGCTTTTTACTGCTTTTACTCATTAACTGTTTTAAACAGTGTGAATGCATAACTGTGATTACCCCTTTGTCTGCTTTGTCTGTCAAGACACTTTGTAAACCTTGTTTTAAAGATGCAATTAATAAATAAAGCTATTATTATATCCAGCAGAGAGGTGAGACAGAAAACGCAGAGAGAGAAAGCTGATGACCTGCGACATGATCGGGGCAAAGATTTAATCCTTCGGTAGCATGTGAGGTCAGTGGTGAGACAAACAGAGAGAGAGAGAGAGAGAGAGAGAGAGAGAACGAGTGAGGAGGAAAGATAGAAACACCAGGTCTGCAACGAAAGAGAGAGAGAGAGAGAAAGAAAATAAGAAAGAAAGGAAGAAAGAGACAGAGACGAGATTGAATCTGTACGAACAGAGACGAGCATGTGAGGTCTGTTGACCCCGAGTGTAGAGGGATCAACCGTCAACTGCTTATCCCCTTATCTCTCCAGCCAAGCAAGCCATCAATCAACACACACACACACACACACACACACAACACACAACACACACAACACACGCACACACAGTGATGGGAGTAAGAATAAGAGGCAGCAGATGATGAGCGGAGAGATGCTGCATGATGACAATAATGTGACAATCAGGCCTTAAGAAGAGATTCAGGGTTTAAAAATAACTCTGTGGGAAAAACCAGGATGAGCCGCTGGTAGTTAAAAAAGCCTCTGCGGTAAAGACGAGGCTTCCAGCAACAGATGACACAAATGAAACCAGGCGAAGTTGGCGAGGCCACGCCCACAAAAACACAAGAATGTGCGTCGTGCAAGTGAGATGAACGTACACAGCAGATATGAGCGTTGTCGTGCCTGATTGATGAAAACATACAGACTTCCAATCACTTCATCCGGGTCGAAGGCTGGATGAGCATTTTACAGCCGCTTCCACAGATGATGGACGTTTTTCTTTTTGTTGTCGGATGAATCACCTGCACGGCCTCTAAACACCAGACACTTGAACACAAGCACAGCTCTGCCGGTAGTTACGTGTTGCGGTGGTAGCGTAACACGTGTGTAAAAAAAAAAAAAAAGTACAGCTGATCCCATTCTTGTACACACACGTACACACCCGACGCGTGGGAGTGAATGAGTCGTGAATCGACGAAGCCAGGATGCAACAGTTGAGTGAGACGAAGGGATGAGAGCCGACATGGGTCAACGTGTGAGTGCAGATGTTCCTGCAGATGTTCTCACGATGTAATAATTCACATCTTAAATGTTTTCCCAACAACTCTCTCTCCTCATGTCTTATCATTCGTCCATTAAAGGCAGCAGCTGTGGAGAAATGACAAAAAATAAAACAAATGTATTGATTTGTCCGTCAAAAATCAAAAAAGTACATTTTAGTCTCCGACTCCTCCGTCTTTGTAATTTCATTGTCACAGAAAATGTGGTAAAAGGTTCTTTTTTTGGTTCCTGCTAATTATTTAAAACATTTTTCTTTAACAAAAAAGCATTTTCATTATAAAGAGGAAATTGACTCACTTTAAAAGTGTTTGGGGTAAAATGCTAATGTGCATGAAGGCGTCTTATTCATTTATTCAAGGAGGACAATTAATGGCTTTTTTAAAAATTATAGTTTAATTTAAGGGCTGAATATTTAGTTTGTGAAAGAAAAGAGAAAAATTCAGAGACATCAGGCTACATCCACGTTCCTACGTTTTAGTTAGAAAATATAAAGATGGAGAATACGTCTCCACTTCATTCTCCGTTGTACATACATGAATAATTTTCGGGCCAAAACACTGAGGACGTATAAGAGTCGTTGGATGGAGTCGTGCTACCTTCTTGTTGCTGTGACTCATGTTTTTCTATGAATGCAGAAAATGCTCCATTAAGCTTCACCCTCTCTTTCATTCGTCTAAAAACAGACTTCGTGTTGAGAGCAGACACTTTAAAGCCGTGTGTGTTAACACCACCCGTTTTAATGGTTCGCTGGAACACTCAGGATTTCACAAAGGTTAACAGTCAGAGGGAAAGAGGCAGAGTGATCAGCAGGGGGGAGCTGGAGAGAACGTCAGCTGCTGCTTTCTTTGGATGTTTGAGCAGGAGAGTCGGACTTTGACACAAGCCCAAGGCTCAGTCCGAGCTCAACTCCGACTCACGCTGAAGAACATTTTATATTTTTGAACATTTTATATCTCACCCTGCCTCTGTCTCCTACGCTATCTTTACTCCGCAGTGTCCATCCAGGTCAACATGAGCACGCCACAGCACCGCTCACCTGACCACACGCAGGCATTAGCAGGGGCTTCTCACAGAACATGTAATCCAATGCAAAGAAGCTTAGAAAACTGACTCTGCCTCGAGCCCCTGAATGCAGCACAGACTCAGTTACAGTAACGTTCACAGCTGCATCTAGTACAGATGTGACAGATGTGGTTGAGCCTCAGAGGAGACAGAGTTAAAGACGTCTTTGAGAAGTTTCTTTAGATGGAGAACGACTTGAGAAGAATTAATTATCATCGACGTTTTCATGAGCTGCAGGTAGAATCCAGAGAGCTGGCTGCAGAGTTCACCCACTTACATGCAGGTCGTCATCATCCTCTGATTTATTGGGTTAAACTTTCATAAATGTTTTGAGAGTTCACCAGATCCATGCAAATTAAATGCATCCAAGCATTTACCGGCTTTTTAAATTAACTGCACACGTTTCCGGCCTCTGGATTCTTCTTCTAGCTCAGTCCTCTGGTTGAGACTTTCACAATCAGCTGCAATTTCTACTGGAAACCTCCAACTGTGAAAGTGCTGCACTCCAGCGGCTCCGACTGCTGCTAACGAGACCCGGGAGTTCATTAGCTCTTTAGCAGACGAGGCCCTGGAGTTCTGATGTATATAATTATTAACATTTTTCTTCTCTCAGCCATTGTGGTCATATCAGGAAGTGATTTACTGAAGAGGAACTCTGATATGAGTCCAAAGGTCTTATTTCAAGGAGGGAGAAGTGATGGAAGAAGAGAGGAGAGGAAGAGGAGACAAGGAGTAGAGGAAGAGGAGAGGAGTGGAAGAGGAGAGGAAGAGAGGGGGGGGAAACTGAAATCTTGAATCAAAAATCTCTCTGGGTCCATTTAGCTGCAAAAGAGCCGCGTCTCATTTCGTATGTTTCTGTGAACGACCGAACAAAAGAAGTCAAAAGCGTTTTCAGGAAACATGTTGCAGAAGAACAGATTTCCACCATCGCTCCATCTGAGCCATGTTAGCACGGAGCTTTCTCCAAAAAGACTTCCTCGTGTGTGCAAACCAGTGAAGTGGGATTTCTTAATCAGCTATATCTGGACCTCTTCTCCTCCGTGGAATCAGGTTGAGTCTGGACAATTCATTAGATTTATCACCGGCTCGTCTACCGATCTGGGCTCAGCATGTAATTTCACTTTCCATCCATCCGACCTGCTCCAGCCACAAATTTCCATTTAGTGACCTGTACCAGCCGAGCCAGACCGGAGTCCCACGGGCGGCCGAGGCTCTCTTTCAATTTCACTGAGTCCCATTAAAGCCGAGTCAGGCGGCAGCGGATACCTGGCAGGTATTCATCTCAGGGCTGACACACTCTGTGAAGCTCCCATTTATCTCTGCATTTGTCTTAATACACGTCAAGAGGCTGGTGCACGTACATGCTGTCGCTGCCAAACACAGTGACACCACTGAGCCCGAGAGCAACGACACACACACACACACACACACA